GGGCCCTGGGGCGCGGGTCTCGTCCCGGGGGCGCTCGGCGGGGCCCCGGCGGCTGCTCCGCGCCCGGCCCCGCGGGACGAAGCGGGGCAAACGCTTTGCGGGGAAGGAGGTCCCTGGTGCCTGCGGCGCTACCACCGCTCGGCGGGGTTGCCCTGTAAGCACCTGTGAAATTGCCGTGCAGTGATGTAGGGCTCTTCTCCGCTAATAATAATCAGATCTGTAAAAAAAAAAACAAAACCACCACCGAACCCAACCTACTGTTGAAGTGGGTCCCAGAAATACACTAGGAGTCTCTGTGAGGTTTCTTTTGGAAAAAAACTCTTGCCTGTGGTTTTAGTCACTATTAAACTTACCACTCTTCTTAGTGATTTTCTTGCCCACCTCATTCTGCTCGGGTTAGGCAGAAAAATCAGCAGGTTGTTTCTTCGGTGGACTCCTCCTCAGGTTGTTTCATCGGCTGTTCAGTGTCTGTGTCATGGTGGTTCTTTGCATAGAGCTGATAGGTGGCGTGGAGAGTCTCACCCGGCAAGTCGCGGAGGTGTGGTGTCAGCCTGGTGTGGAAGCATCTGTGTCCTAGTCGATGTTTGCCTAGTTAATACACTCTAAGTGCATTGGGTTGATTGGGAAGGATGTCTTTACCTATGAGAGTGATGGAGATGGTTTTCTTTAAAGTTGAGAGAATTAAGACTTGCACACAAAAGTAGATTGTGTTTGATGGGAAGTTTACACGTGGTAGAGTGGAGTTTGGCACCTTTTCTGAAGAACGCTGCTTGGTTTTGTTTATATTATTTCACTTTATAGCACATTGTCATGGTCCACTGCAAATCTTCAGCTTGTTTCAGTGTTGTGAAGAGGAACATACGCAATGCTGTGGTTGCTATACTGGAAATACATCAAATAATTTGGGTTTTTCTTCCAAATGGAAAGTTCCTTGTGCATGAAAGGTTTATCTGCTTCTTAGAGCAGGTGTGGTTTTGCATGAAACTGTTTTTTCAGGTGATTTGAGTTCTTTCCTGCCTTGTAAACTACTGTTTGACACTGACAGATATGAAAGTACCAAGTTGTATCATTGTGATAGAGGATTGCTTGTTTCTCTTAAAGGTCTCATAAAGACAAAAAAGGTCTTTTCCTGAATGCATTTGACATTTTAATATAAGTCTGAAGAGTGTAGTCGTATCTTTCTCACTTCGAAGTCTGCTGTGAATGTCCTGAAAGATCTGTGATTCCGATCTGGGATTGTTTAAATTCCTCTGTTAGGGAGTTTGTGGATGGTTTGGTAGTACTTTTTTCTCAAAGTTCACTTTGGTAATGATGCTTGTAACTCAAAATGTCTTGTTTGGATTGTGTGAGGAGGCAGCAGTTAGTTGTTCTTGGTGTGATTCATTCCTGGACAGTTTTCCAAATAATCACCATTTTAGTATGAGATAGTCTACTAAGCAATGAAAGAGCAAGGGTTTTCCATCCCTTCTTTAAATACAAAATTCACCTGTTGCCACTTGAAGTATTTGGCTCTTTTGTTGAGTTATAATCCTAGGAAGTCTTTTTTTTTGGGTATTTCATCAGGATTTGGATAATGAAGTGACAACTGAAAATGCAGTATCTCGGTAGGGAGTTCTCACTCTGTGCTCTGTAGAGGTGGCTGTGAAATATCACTTAGTTTCACCAGTTTTTGTGACTCCTGAAGAACTCATGTGCAGCCTAAGGAGGATTTCTGAGGTACGGCTTATGTTGCTTTGCTCAAGTAAGAAGAGGCACAGTTGATGGAAGGAATATCATTATTGATGGAGTGAAGGTTTATTAAAATCCAGGGTTTTAAGTATTTAATTCTTGTTCTTTGCCTTTGAGAGGGTGATTTGTTCACCTGCTGGTGATGGGAGAACTTGAAAGATTCTTTGAATGTTTTCTGGTTCTTTTTATATTCTTTGTGGAAGGCGCATTCATGTCTTGAAACCATACCAAAAACATGCAATGAAATTACCAACAAATCGTACAGGGATAAGGTGTTAAAAAATGCAGTCTTACTCTTGTGTTGTTTGTATGTCTCAGTGCCTTGTGGTGGTTGCAGGTTTGAACTTTCTATATAGACAGTTCTTTGTGGACTGTTACTGCTGTTGTGTTGCCTGCATTGATTTTTGCCTCCATTTATTCTTTATTGCAGTCTAAAAGTTGGTTTTAATTGGTTGCCCACAGGATTGGCTTGGCTTCTGCTACTTGTTAAGAAAAAAACATCTGTCTTTGCAGGTAAGAGCCTTTGAATTGAAGACTTCTTTATATGCATATTGAGTATAACTTAAATATTTGAAACTTTTGGAATCTGTGAATTGGTATCAAAACACTTAGGTGAAATAATCTGTAGTTAGTCGCTTTACTTTGACTCTTGCTGATGATGGTGGTTCTGGCAATGTTGTTCTTGTAAACAGAATTTTCTGCCAAACTAATGTTTTGTTGTTTCATCAGCATGTGGTAGTCTGGAACACTCTCCCAGTTATTTTGCACTGTTGGAAAATGTAGCTACTTTGCTTCAGGCCATAGGTCTGCATGTTTCTAACTATTGGATTTTAGAAGTGTACAGCAATTGATTTTGTAGCATTTAAAGGTATCAGATAGTCAACTCCGAGCTAATTCGAACCTGTCTTAATCTAACAGGTTGACTTAAGTCTTTTTTTTAAAAAAGCAAAACTGTGGTCTGCAGTTTTACCTCTTACTAGACAGTCTTAACCTGGATACTTAAAGTTCTTCCTACAATACCAATTTTATTCCAGTCCTTAGTTTTCATCCAAGAATTGTCAAATATGTTGTGTGTGTACCGTGTGGGTATTGTACTTCCGTGCTGCCCAGGGACTAGGTTGAATCTTCTAAACTCTTCTTAATTTGAAAAACGCATACATCTTAAAAGGCTAGTCTGGTGTTTCTATAAATTTATGTATGTGACCCAAATTCTGCTTATTTTATTGACAAGCACATAGCTGGAAGATGGAAGAAGTAATATTGTCATCTTGTACAAATTTTTCCTGTGTAACACCAACTTTTTTAAAGTTATTACCGTCAAGACCCATAAACCTGCTGTTAAGGCTCATCAAATGAGTTGAATCAGATTGTCAGCAGCTCTTTACTCCGTTTTCTATCTCAGCTTGCTAATGGGAATGACTTGTCCATAGTACAGCTCTAGGATTTTGTGCTTCAGGTCACTCCAAAAATATACCACCCACACAAAATGAAAACCCAGTTTTACCTCAAAGTATCTTTTTTGTACAGGGAGAAAAGCAGGCAGCCTGAGAACAGCCCCAAAAATAGCCTTCAGTGCACGCTTCATGGGCATGTAGCCTGTTGTGATGTTGCCTCTGCATGTATGTTAGGAGTGAATAGTGAAATATTTGAGCAGGCTTTGCTTTTTTCGTTAGTTGAAAAATTTGAGTGAGTGGGGTTTTGTCTCCTAAGCACATTTTGGAAAAAATTGGACTTGTGAGTGGTTAGAAATGTGAAATTTGTGCTTTTTGGTCTCTGTGATTTTTCTTTAAATCACAGAAGTGAAACTAATAGTTCACTAAAAGCACTGAAATTTGAAGAAATTATGTTTTGAGTTGACAAAATATATTTTTTGTCTAAAGTATTTGATGGGAGTGAAGAAGTCCTGAAATTTCTTCTTATTCATACCATTCTACTTAGCTCTTGCTTAATAGCAAGCATGAAATTAACTACGGTGAAGTCATTGCATCTAGTTTTTCAAGCAACTATATACCTAAGTAGCTCCTTGAGTTGTGTGTTGTTTGTTTTTGGTTTTTTTTTGGTCAACAGTGAATTAGTGGACCTAAGTAGAATAATTGTTAACAAAACTTAAAGGTATCTCTTAACATTTATAGTGAAGTTTTGAATTTAGTGCAAGACTGAAACATTTGCATTATCCCAGAAGTTATGCACATGTTGAGATGATTGAACTCTTGAGAATTCCTTTATGACCTTATCTGTTAATTTGTCTTCTGGGCTAGATTCATGGAATTGTTAGTAAATGCAGTTATCTAGCAGGTGTCGGTTCTGATAAAGAATATATGATGTTCTAAACCAGCAGATCTGAGCAGAAAAATTTTCCCAATTTGCATTTGTTAATCTAATGGCCATATCCTATTATCATCCCTTGTGCATTAGTAAGGAAATCATAGAATCACAGAGTGGTTTGAGTTGGAAGGAACCTAAAAGATCATCCAGTTCCAATCCCCCTGCCCTGGGCAGGGACACCTCCCATGACCCCAGGTTGCTCCAAGCCCCCTCCAGCCTGGCCTTGAACCCCTCCAGGGATGGGGCAGCCACAGCTACTCTGGGCAACCTGGGCCAGGCTCTCACCACCCTCACACCAAAGAAGTTCTTCCTGAGATCCCATCTAAATCTCCCGTTTTTCAGTTTAAAACCTTCCCCCCACCCTCCCCTATGGCTCCCCTCCCTGATCCAGAGTCCCTCCCAGGTTTCCTGGAGCCCCTTGAGGGACTGGAAGGGGCTCTAAGGTCTCCCCGGAGCCTTCTCTTCTCCAGGCTGAACCCCCCCCAACTCCCTCAGCCCCCCCTCCCAGCAGAGGGGCTCCAGACCTCCCAGCATCTCCGTGGCCTCCTCCGGCCCCGTTCCAACAGCTCCGTGTCCTTATGATGGTGGTGGCCCCAGAGCTGGAGGCAGCAGTGGGGGGGCAGTGTGTCTCCTCAGAGTGAGGCAGAGAGGCAGAATCCCCTTCCTTGCCCTGCTGGGGATGCAGCCCAGGATGCAGGGGGCTTTCTGGGCTCCCGTGCACGTTGCCGGCTCATGTTGAGCTTCTCATCAACTGACATCCCCAAATCCTTCTCCTCGGGCCTCTCTCAATCCATTCTCCACCAAGCTTGGATTTGTGCTTGGAATTGCCCTGTTCCACGTGCAGGACCTTCTGCTTGCCCTGGTTGAACTTCATGAGGTTCGCACAGGCCCTCTTCTCCAGCCTGTCCAGGTCCCTCTGGATGGCATCCCTTCCCTCCAGTGTGTTGGCTGTGTCACACAGCTTGCTGTCATTGGCAAACTTGCTGAGGGTGCCCTTGATCCCACTGTCAAAGATGTTAAACAGCACTGGTCACAGTACTGACCCATGAGGAACAGCACTTGTCACTGGTCACCACTTGGACACTGAAACTCTTTGATAAAACTGTTTCTTAGGTGAATAAAAGTAATCTTCCATTTAACACAAGAAACTTCAAATGTCTAACTTCTGATGCTTAAAAATTCCTGAAGCCTCCTAGCAAGATATGCTATTGGTATTACTTTAGTTTTCAAAGCACAAAACCAAGGATGCTTTTATACCTCTTGCCTCGGGATCATCTAATTGGAAAGCAATCCTGTAAGATAATGTTAATGATTTTCCAGTCCCCTTTAGTATGACTTCTCTAAAGTAGGCAGAATTTTCATTCTAACTTAAGTGTCAGAGATTGCAATCACTTTAGGCAAATTCAAAATAAAACTGCAGAATCATTGAAAAATAATGCTGTTTTAAGATAGCACAAAAAGTTGTACAGGCTTTGTTAGTTGTGTAGATAGACGTAGACAGTTCTTACTTTGACGTGCTTTTTTTCACGTGGGCCACTTATTTTGCTGTTGGAAAATCTTTGGGCAATGAACTTTTTCTCAAGTTAAATGTGTGTATTTATAAGAGATGAATGCAAGATGTTGCTTTTGTTACCTTGCCATAGCGATGCAAAAGTTGCTTTAAAAAAAATGATCCCTGAGGCTTAGTATATGTTCCCCTTTCTGTTGTTGCCATCCCTCAGTGGAGTAGGGGTTTTTCTTAGTGGTATGTATACAGCTAGATTATTATATTTTAATTGTTTTAGACCTTCTCATGTTCGTCTTGCAAGTTTCAGTTTCTGTTTCATGGCAGCATAGTAAGGAATGGGAGGTTCATGGGCAGTGGCTAGAGCAGCAGAGCTGACTGTGCCAGTGGGCTTGTCTGCTGTTGCCTTGAGGGAGAAAGGCCCTCTGCTCTTTTCTGGAGTTACCTGCAGGTGGGCCGGCGTCCTGTAATACCCCAGCGTGTTGCTTGAGTTCATTAGTGTATGGAAGGGGTTAGTTCTGGTTTAATGGGTAATAAAACAAAATACTTGAGTACCTGTTTGAGTAATCTCAAGTTCCATCATGCAAGCAAGAGAATTGCTGCTCCTTCCCTACCTTGCAGAAGAATTTTTACTCTTGTTTTCATTAAGTACTGAATTCAGCCCTACTTAATGGTGGATATTGTTGGATAGTGGCTTTACTTAGTAGTTAAGGATTTGTTCAAGGTGAGTCTACTCTAAAGCGATTGGAAGACGTGGACAGGCAAATGCAGCTGACTAAAAGATTTGACTATGCTGAGATGCAATGCCCAGCTGAATGTGAAACCTTGGGAGATAGGTACTGTAGTTGCTCGTAGCTTTGGTATACAGCCAAAAGTCTTTGGTGGTGCACTGCCTCCCAGTGTTGCATTGTGTGGTCTGGTTCATCCTTGATTTCTAGTGCTTAGTTGACTTCAGTTGTTTGCGACTAATGGAGCCCTGAAGGTCAGTACAGGTACTGAGCTGGCTTGTACTTAGGGAGTCAAGAAGTTTAGAGGTGAAGTGGCTCAGGTGAAACAAGATGCTGCTACTGATGGTTTGGGATGGGAGGCTGGCTTCTGAACTGGTGAATTGTGCTAGTATTAATATGATGCTTTCAGTCTTTACTGAAGGTTTGTCAGGAATAAATGAGAATTACCTAGTTTCCTGTTCATCTTGAACTTCTGGTATGACCTCAGGCCCTTCTGTAGGATGTGCACAACGTAACTGTCAAGATCTACTTGTTCAAAATTGACCTTAAGCTTCCAGTAACCTCAGAGGTCTGAGACAAAAGGTGTCATATTAGACAGGGCACCTGCAACTATTAAAAATTACACCTTGTTTTTGAAAGTTGTAAAGGCCAAATATCTAGCTAGGATATGCATAGGTGTTAATTAGTTTAGGCGAGGTCTGTATAGTCACATAACATCTGGGGCTAGTCTGTAACAGGTTGCTTCATGGTCCCCTAGGCCTTTTGCATTTCCTAGGAGGAAGAGACAAGATCAGTATAATCTAGATGGTCCCTGTCAGGATGTGGTGGGAGTCTCACTGTTGCTTAGCTGTGCGTAATGGGTTTTGTTCATAACCTACCCACTGTTAACCTTTCTAGTCATCTTCTGGCAGGAGATAAAATCGGTCCCCAAATGAAGGAGAACTGGTTATTTCTCA